CCCAGGACGACTCTGGGTACGGGGGGTAGAGATAGCTGCCCTCACCGTTCTGCTCTCACCTGGCTTGGCCTTCTGGTCAACCCCCCAGCCTCCTGCCATTGGCATGGCACACTGCACCCCGGTGGCTGGGACAGACCCCTTTTTGGTATCTATCGTCATCAACCCCATGCTTTGTAAGATTTTGTTTAGTAGGAATCTCAAAGGGACGAAAAGGCAGTCTCTTGCTTCTCCTTGGAATACTTTGTGCAGAGATCAACATTTTCTTTCCTTTTTACTTTTTTTTTTTTTTTTTTTGGTGACAGGGTCTCACTCTGTCACTCAGTGGCACAGTCATGGCTCACTGCAGCCTCGACCTTCCAGACTCAGACGATCCTCCCACCTCAGCCTCCCAGGCAGCTGGGACTACAGACATGCAGCACCACACCCACTAAATTTTTGTTTTTGTTTTTGTAGAGGTAGGATTTCGTCATGTTGCCCAGGCTAGTATTGAACTCCTGAGCTCAATACGATAAATCCCAGTCTTTGGGAGGCCGAAACAGGAGGATCATTTGAGGGCGGGAGTTCACAACTAGCCTGGGCAACACAGGGAGACCTCATCTCTAAAAAAAAATGTAAAATATTAGCTGGGTGTGGTGGCACACGTCTGTAGTCCCAGCTACTCGGGAGGCAGAGGTGGGAGGATTGTTTGTGCCTGGGAGGGTGAGGCTGCGATGAGCCGTAATGGCACCATCGTACTCCAGCCTGGGTGACAGAGTGAGACCCTGTCTCTTTAAAAAACATAGAAATAGTGAGAACAATGAAGCACAGATGGCATTTGTTCAGAAGCTTCGTTTTCTGTTCTGCAGCAGCACAGGCCTGTTGACAGTGCAGGTGGCCGGAGATGGCCTTGCTGACCTTGTCAGCCCCACATGGGGACCTTTGGAGCACAGCCCACGAGCCTAGTGCAAGGAATGCCCCATTCTTCTGATGCTCAGGGAGGGCATCACTTGTGGGTCCCCTCCCCTGTCACGCTGTCTTGAAGCCTGAGCATGGGCCCCCCACCCCACAGTGTGGGGGCCTGGGGCCAGAGTCCCACCGATCTGACCCGTTTTGTGCCAGGGATTTTGTGTGCATGGACTCGTTCAGATCTCAGGGCTACCCAGCAACCTGGGTGTGTTGTGATCACCTCCATCTCAGGAGTGAGTGAACCGAGGCCTGGCGGGACACTGACCTGCTCAAGGTCACAAAGGACTGTCCTGGGAGCACGGCTTTGTCTTTACAACTCCTGACCCTTGCTCATCTTCTCCCAGAGGTCCTGGCCCCTTCACCCGTCCGTAGAACATCAAGGGAGGAAACCGGGGCTTGCCCGGAGAGGGAATGCGGCTCACCCCGAGGCTGCATGGGGCTGACGCTGTGGTGGTTGCTCTGCTGACTGTGGGGAAGACAGGAGCGGGGCCCAGGCTCGGGGCTCAGGTTCGGGGCGTGGCTCTGCTGCTGTCCTGGTGCTTCAACCCGGGTGGGTCCCGGGGCCCCGGTATCAGTGTCTGCACTGGCCAGTCTCTCAGGCACTGTCCAGTCTGAGCAGCCTGCTGCGGAGCCCCTCCTGAGCTCAGTGAGTACGGCTGCCCCTCCAGACAGAGCAGGGCACTGGGGCTGGCTTCAAACCGGCCTCTTTTTTAATTCTTTTCTTTAAATTGTCTGCATTTGAGTAGCCTTTATCGATCAGGGCAGGAATCTCAAAGGGACAAAAAGGCAGTCTCTTGCTTCTCCTTGGAATACTCTGTAGAAACCAGCATTTTCTTTCCTTTTTTAAAAAATTGTTTTATTTTGAGACAGGGTCTCATTCTGTCGCCCAGTGGCACAGTCGTGGCTCACTGCAGCCTCGACCTTCCAGGCTCAGACGATCCTCCTACCTCAGTCTTCCAGGTAACTGGGACTACAGGCACGCACCCGCACACCCACTAAATTTTTGTTTTGGTTTTTTTAGAGATAGAATTTTGTCATGTTGCCCAGCACTTGGGAGGCCGAGGTGGGTGGATCACTTGAGATCAGGAGTGGTGGTGATCTCAAAGTAGGATTACAGGCATGCGCCACCACACTCAGCTACTTTTGTATTTTTAGTAGAGATGGGGTTTCACCATGTTGGCCAGGCTGATCTCGAACTCCTGACCTCAAGTGGTCTACCTGCCTTGGCTTCCCAGAGTGCCAGGACTGCAGGTGTGAGCCACCGTGCCCGGTCTGATCAGCATACTCTTTCTCACACTGCTGTCCTCCCTCTGCTCTTGGCTCTTCCTGTCCCTGGGAGGCTGCTCCTGGCATCCTGCTGAGGACCTGCAGAATGCTCACCAATTCCACGTGCCAGCCGTTTGATTCTATAAATCCTGGGCTCAGTTTCCCCATCTGTAGCATGGAGATCACATTAGTACCTGCCTCAAGAGGTTGCTGAGAGGATCAAATGAGATGTAATGAAAGTAATTTGCAGAGGCCAGGCACATAGTAGGTGCTCACTAAATGTTAGTAGGTGTTGTAGCGTGGGGGTGAGCTGCTCAATATGGAATTTCTAGGTATAGAAGAATGGGCGTTTTGATGGCCATGGGGCATGGAGGGCCCAGACTGGTGAGGTCTGGCCATGGGAGGCCAGGCCATACTCTGATGCCCACAGCTGCCTGCTGTGGCCTCCCTGTCTTTCACATGCCTTGTGCCCAGGTCACTCTGCCTGGGGTCCTCCTGTGTTGCTTCCTTCCCTCCTCAGTGAGGCCCGCACCTCTGGCCCTTCCCTGGATCCTTCCCTCCAAAGCACAGGTGGTTCTGTGTTGCAGGTGGGCCAAGTTGTCTCTGCTGGGCTGTGGGCGTTGGGTAGGAGGACCCTCGGGCAGCCGTGGGTGCTCCGGTGTGGCTGAGTGTCTGGCCTCCCCCTGGATGTTAGGGGTGCTCCCAAGCTGTGTTGGCCCGGAGCATCACTGGGGAGGGGGCGCTGCCAGGTAGGTAGGCCAGGGGTCCTCAGTGCTCTGCAGGTGAGGAAGGCCCTGTGGGGTGGAGTGGGGGGAGGGTGCGAGGCTCTGGCCAGCTGGCCTTGCACAGCTGCACAGAGGCAGGGCAGGGATGTGGCGGGCAGAGCCTCCTCACCCCAGCCTACTGCATGCCTGCGAGGTGAGGATAGAGAAGGTGAGGCCTGCAGTAGCCAAATGCGTGGCTGGATGGGGCAGTCTAGGCCTGGCATGGAGCAAGGGGTTGGGTAGATGGGAGAAACTTCCCCATGTCCTGCGTCCTCTCTAGAGCCTGGGACAGGGGCCCCAGGACCTCAGGACGAGGGGCCCTGCCTGGAGGTGCATGGCCAACCCCTGCTGCCCACAGGTGCCTGGCAATGGTGCCTGCAGCGCCTCTGGACCTCTGACGGCACGGCCTGTCCTGAGGAGAGGGGCCTGTGGCTGGCAGGTCACAGCCAAATACATTCACTGCCGAGGTGCATCTGCCCATGCACAAGCCTGTGCACACTTCTCAGTGCCTCAGTTTCCCCCATGCCATGGAGCAGTTGGCCTTGTTGCTGTCCCTGAGGAACCCTGCGGAATAGAGGTGGCCTGGGGCAGGGTGGCGCCCCCTGCTGCTCCCATCTCCCAGTGCCTGTGGCTCCTTCCCTGGCAGGCCCAGAACTTCCACAGTGGAACAGGGACCTCCTGGAACATTCAGAAGTCAGGCGAGGGCAGTGAACTAGGAGCAGAGATTACTTTTGTCACCAGAAACCTGGTGATGCTCCTGCACATGGCGTGGCGTGGGGGCTGCCTTTGTGAGTGGAGGCAGGGCAGGGGCTTCAAGGAGGGGTCATCTCCCTTCCCTTGTGGGTGACCCCGAGAGGGCTGCACAGCTCAGTCTGTTTCAAGTTTCCCCAGGCCCAGGGCGGAGGGGCAGCCAGACAGACCGGCCTTTATGGCCACCCCACCAGACGCCCACTGTGTGGCCTCTGTAAGTCACCTCTTCTCCCACGTGCTTGGTACAACAGACACATGGACCTCCCCTACTCCCTCGTGGAGTCACTGAGAGGGTGGACAGGGGTGGTCTGGGGCTGAGGGTGGTGTTATCTCTGGAGCTGTGCATGTCCAGATGGCCTCACCTAATCGCCATGCACCAGGCGCTGTTACGGCAAGGTGCTGATAACCCCGGGAGGGTGGGCTGTAGTCTCTACTTCACATATGTTCAGAGAAGTGAAGCCGTTTGCCTGACGGCGCACAGCTAGGAAGGGGCAGAGTTGCCATGAGCCCAAGCCGAGGCTCCAGAGTGAGTGCCCCAGGTGAGCTGCTGACTGGCTTTCTGAGATGGGAACTGCAGAACGGCCGCCTATGCGATTCCACAGCAGAGATGCCAGCAGGCCACAAGGGAGAGCCGGCCACTGGACCCTCTGCGGTCAGGCAGCCTCTCTGAATGGGTGAAAGGCAGGAGCATGCATCAGCTAGGACAGAGTCACAGGGAAGAGCATTTCAGGCAGAGGGAAGGGCATGCACGAAGGCCCTGCGGTGGGAAAGAAGGTCTCATTCAGGGAATGGCTCATTCAAGGGTTCGGGTTCTAGCGAGGGGTATGTGGGAGGAGATAGGGCAGAGCTGCCACGGCCAGTGGGAGTTGTGTCTTAGTCTGGGGGTGCCCCTCTTTACCTGTGGGTAGCCTCAGGTCAGTGGCTGAATTCTGGTCAGTTTCAGTTTCCTTACCCCTGCCTGGGAGGTGCTGTGAGGCTGGAATACGCGGAGGACACCCCAGGACATCCCGTGCTGGGAGCTGGGACAGGCAGGCTTGTTGTGGGTTGCCAGTGGCCGCCGAGAGCCTCTGTTTGTTGTGGTGACGGTTGGTACAACGGCTGCACCTGGGCAGCCCTGGGCTGCCTGGCCATCTGGGCCCAGCTCTGACGTCTGCAGCAGCCTGAGGCTTGTTTCTGGGCTGTCTCCATGACGGCCTCACCCACTCCCTCTGACAGCTGGGTGGCTTCCCTGTGGAGCCTGCGGCCCTCCTGATGCAGGCCCGGTGTCCCCAACAGGCAGGTGGATGCAGAGGCCAGGCCTTGCGCTCCCCAGGCCTGCGACGAGGGTGGTCCCCACCCATCCAGCCCATATGTGGAAGTGCCTTTGACAGGTGAGGAAACTGAGGCCTGGTGAAGGGGGGCACATGAGACGACATCCCCAAGTCCCAGGGTGTGAGGTGGGTGGCAGGCTGGGGCCAGAGGGACCAAGAGCAGAGAGAGCAGGGCGGGTGCGGCGAGGACCCCACAGGAAAAGGATGGGACTGCAAGGGGCTGGGGCAAGGTCAAGGCCCAGGGGCTCTGTGCAGAGCTTTAGTTAAAACAAACAAAAAGTCTCTCTTTCTCTCTCTGTTTCTCTCTCTCTCTACGCATATATATGTACACACGTATATATAAACACATATATGTATATTCACACAGATGGGGTTTCACCATGTTGGCCAGGCTGGTCTTGATCTCCTGACCTTGTGATCCGCCAGCCTCGGCCTCCCAAAGGTCTGGGATTACAGTTGTGAGCCACCATGCCCGGGGCAGGGCTTTAATTTTTAACTAACATTTTATATTCTGGTTAAAAAAAGGCTGGTCAGGAATAAAAGCTACCTATAATTCTCATTACTTAGGACAGTTTTTTTTCACCTTTGCGGAGAGGCTAGTCACATCCATGGTGACCAGGCCACACAGGTCCCCTTTTGTGCGGTGAACCCTGAGCTGAGCACTTTGCAGACACAATCTCACTTTGTCCTGCAAAGCTGTGTGGGGCAGGTGGGTGGCGTTTTCGCCTCAAGCTGTTTTGTATATGAGGAACGCGAGATGCAGAGGAGGGCACCATGCCATGGCTGCCCCAGAGCCCAGGAAGTTCCGACAGCCACTGACCCAGAGGCAGGACAGAGTGGCCTCAGGAGCTGCTGGCCCTGCATACCATGGTTTTTCCTGTTAGAATGTGCTGAGCCTCTAGGTCTCCAGACTTGGTTGCCATTTCTTGTTGAGCACTAGACCTGGGCCCGTCCTTCTGCCTCAGGGAGGGCTCCCTGTGTCGGGGTGCTGTGAACCTCGGCCTGGCCTCTTGGGGTCTCCAAGTCAGCAAACCCAGGAGTGACTCCAGGCCAGAGCCCTGACTTGCTGCACAGCCTGGGGCAAGTGGCTTGACCTCTCTGAGCCTCTTCCCCAAGTAAAATGAGGTTGGGAGCCCCTTCCTGCAGGACCGTGGGAGCATCCGGAGTCACAGATGAGAGGACCCTGCCTCTGGCTGGTGGCTGTGGCTGTGACAGACTCACAGGGAGACCCATGTGGTCCCTGACAGTCAGTGTGTTGTGGCTTCTTTTTTTTTTTTTTTTTTTTTTTTTTGAGACGGAGTTTCGCTCTTGTTACCCAGGCTGGAGTGCAATGGCGCGATCTCGGCTCACCGCAACCTCCGCCTCCTGGGTTCAGGCAATTCTCCTGCCTCAGCCTCCTGAGAAGCTGGGATTACAGGCACGCGCCACCATGCCCAGCTAATTTTTTGTATTTTATTAGAGACGGGGTTTCACCATGTTGACCTGGATGGTCTCAATCTCTTGACCTCGTGATCCACCCGCCTCGGCCTCCCAAAGTGCTGGGATTACAGGCTTGAGCCACCGCGCCCGGCTTCGTGGCTTCTTAATATGAGATAAAAACACATTCACTGATGAGGTACATCTGCCCACACACAGGTGTAGTGACCAGGCGCACACAGGCATGGTGACCAGGCGCACACAGGCGTAGTGACCAGGCGCACACAGGGGTGGTGACCAGATGCACACAGGCGTAGTGACCAGGCGCACACAGGCGTGGTGACCAGGTGCACACAGGCGTAGTGACCAGGCGCACACAGGCGTGGTGACCAGGTGCATACAGGCGTAGTGACCAGGCACACACAGGCGTGGTGACCAGGCGATTGATTCATGGGTGAGTGGTCAGCAGGCAGGTGCCCAGTGCATGTGGCAGCAGCAGCTGCTGCTGCTTCTGTCTGTGGACGCTGTTGTTTCTGAAGCCTCTGGGGCCTGGCAGTGGGGTCTCTGGCGCGGCTTTGGTGGAAAGGCTGCAGGTATCTGCTTGGCCCCTGCACTCTGCCCACCTGCCCCAGGATGGACCCTGGGATCCCCGTCCCCACCAAGGCTATTCTGTTTCCTGTTGCTCCGCTGTTGTCTTCCCAGTGGCGGGAACCACCCCCTACCCTCCATCTGGGTTGGGTTGGCCGCTGGGCCCGGGTGTGTGGTTCTCAGGTGTGGCCCCAAGGCTGTGTTACACCGTGGCCAAGGCTGGGTCTGAACCTGGCTTGGAGGTGGCTTCAGAGACCGAGGTGTTCTTTTCAGGTGGCAGCAGGGCCCTGGGCAGTTTCCAGGCCCCAGTGCCAGCAGCCAGGGTGAGGCAGCAGCAGCAAGCAGGAGTAGTGGGTGAGGGCTGAGGTGTGGCAGGGCCATGCTTGGAAGTGGGGCTGAAGCTCCCGAAAGGGCACACATGTGGTCAGCATGTCTGCACTGGGTGATCTCGGGGAGCTGTGTCACTTCCAGCCCTGCTGCCTGCTGGTGCCAGAGCACCAGGTGACCCAGGCAAGTCCCTTCCCTCCTCTGGAGAATCCAGCCTGCTGTCAGGTGCCTGGGGCCAGGGTTCTAGGTTCAGGTCCGCTCAGCTCCTGGGCAGGCAGGCTCCTGGCATCTCTGATCCTTGTTTCTCCTACCTGTGGAATGGTGGCTGTGCCTTCTGCAAAGGGCGGCCCTGACTACCTGCATGCCAGCCCCACTGTGCCTGGAGCCCCAGAAATGCTGACCTTCCGTTAATACCAGCTGAGTGCTGTGCACCCAGCCACGCTCCTGCAGCCAGCCTGAGAGATGTGGACACGGTGGGGTGAGGAAGGTGTTCCCCCAGGACTCTGGCCTACCTGGTGCAGGGGAGGGGAGAGAGCCAGCACTTTTCATGGGAGGGAAACAGGCATCACCAGTCAGCCTCCAGGGTGAGCAGAGCTAGCCTGGAGGGCAACCTGGGCTGGAGCCTCGGCCTGCTCCACCACCTGCTGCCCTCTCTGAGGGCCTGGCCTTCTTCATCTTGGACATGGTATGAGCCTTGTCCCCCTATCTGCAGCCATGAGGCTCCTGGACAGTGGCTGCTGCAGGTGCTGGACTGCTGCTGGGCCCTTCTCACCCTACACCCCTGTTGGCTAGTTAGCTAGGGCAGTGAGGCCACCTCACAGATGGGGAAACTGAGGCCCAGGGAGGTACTCAAGATGTGCCCAGTGGGCAGAGCTGAGATAAGGCCCTGAGGTCCAGCCTCCAGGCCTGGGTCTGTCCTCTCTGTACCCCCTGCAGGGCTGTGACAGGCCTCTTTCCCCTTTTGAAGGCTTCAAGTCCTGGCTCGGAGAGGGGGCTCCCAGCTCAGGTGATGGCAGAGGCTGGCACCCTTGTGGGCCAGGGCCTGAGTCATCCCTGTCCCCATCTTTGCGCAGCCCGAGGGGAGTACAGGGGATATTGATGACCAAGGGGTAGGCCAGACTCTTCACCTTCTCTCCATTCTAGGAAAATCCAAGAGGAAGAAGGATCTGAGGATATCCTGCATGTCCAAGCCGCCCGCACCCAACCCCACGTGAGTCTGCCTAGTTTCTCCCTGGCTGACCCTAGAGAGGCTTCCCGCATGGGGCTCAGCGGCAGGGGTGAGAAGCAGGGGGGCCGGTGCTGCTTTGCCTCGTCCTGTCCTGGGCAGCACCTGCTGTGGGTCTGGCTATGCATGGCTGCGGGACGCTCCGCAGAGCCATCTGCTCCACTCTGCTCACTCCTTACCCCGTCTTGGAGGCTCTTTGGGCCATGCCCAGCCCAGTGTAGACACTCAGCAGCCAATGAGGGGAGGTGGTCTGAGGAGGCGCCTCTGCTCAGCAGCCAATGAGGGGAGGTGGTCCCAGGAGGCGCCTCTGGGACAGATGCTCAGCAGCCAATGAGAGGAGGTGGTCCGAGGAGGGCCCCCTGAGGCAAGTGCTCAGCAGCCAATGAGGGGAGGTGGTCCGAGGAGGCGCCTCTGCTCAGCAGCCAATGAGAGGAGGTGGTCCGAGAAGGCCCTTCTGGGGCAAGTGCTCAGCAGCCAATGAGAGGAGGTGGTCCGAGGAGGCGCCCCTGGGGCAGGGTGTACCTCACCCCACGCCTGTCCCCACACTGGCCCATCTGCTGCTGCTCCTGGGGAAGGATGTGGTTCTTTCTGAGGGTCACGGAGTCTTCTTTCTCCACAGACCCCCCCGGAACCTGGACTCCCGGACCTTCATCACCATTGGAGACAGAGTAGGTGCCGGCCATCTTCCCGGCGGGGCCTCTGACGTTACTCGATCAGCGGGTAGAGCTGACCCCGCAGGGCCACTCTGGGCGGAGGTGACTGAGGGGTCAGAGAGGGTCAGGCTCTGGAGAAGAGCCTGGTCCTGCGCCGCTGGCTGTGTGGCCCTGGCCATCCACTGTCTGACCCTCCTGGTGGGAATGAGGACCATCGGTGGCCTCACTGGAGCTTGGCGAGCTCTGAGCTGGCAGGAGGGGTTCTGAGCTGAGAGCAAGGCCCTGCCCCCGCATCCTAGCCCTAGGGCGGGTACTGAACATGCAGGCTTCCAGGCCGCCCCAGACCTGCTGGATTATCCCCTCAGGCCTGCAGGGAAACCTGCATTTTATGCCTCCGGAAGCCTTGGAGGGGCACCAGCCATTGAGAATCCTGGCCCAGGGACCGTGCCATGCCCAGGTCCTCCCAGGAGAAACCCTACTCCCGGCCGGGTGCAGTGGCTCATACCTGTAATCCCAGCACTTTGGGAGGCTGAGGCAGGAGGATCATTTGGACCCAGGAACTTGAGACCAGGCCTGGGCAACATGGCGAAACCCTGTCTGTACAAAAATACAAAAGATGAGTCAGTGTGGTGGCACATGCCTCTGGTCCCAGCCGCTTGAGAGGCTGAGGTGGGAGGATTGCTTGAGCCCAGGAGGTTGCAGCGAGCTGTGATCGCGCCACTGTACTCCAGCCTGGGTGACGGTGAGACCGTTTCAAATTAAAAAAAGAAACCGCACTCCCTAGGCCTGTCCTTGCCAACGCTCCCTCCAGGTTGTTGCAACCCCTGACCCTCACCACCTGCTGTCCTGTTCATCTATTTGCTTATTCCTTTTTCTGTCCCTCCCAACAGAGGGGAACTTCTGTGAGGGCAAGACTTTGTTGTCACTGTGTCCCCAGTGCCCAAAACACGTTGTGGATGCTTGGTAAACAGTGGATGAATGAGTGTCTCATTCCAACCAGCTGAGTGGGGCTGGGGAAAGAGGGACAGGGCACCTCTCTCCCAGAACTCTGCCTGTTGGTGTGGCATTTCATGGGTGTCTCAGTCACACTCCACAGCCTCTTGGGGTGTTGGCGCTGTACCTGTTTTATAGAGGGCAATGTGAGGCTCAGAGAGGTTAAGTGATGTGCTGAAGGTCACACAGCAAGGAGTGGTGGGCATGAGGTTTGAGCCCAGATCTAACCAGCTGGTCCTCTTCACGCTGCCCAGCCATCTCCACTGGGTGAGGGGTAAGGACTGGCTCCCAGCTTGGTGGCCATTGACTCTCTTTTCTGTCCCCCAAGAACTTTGAGGTGGAGGCCGATGACTTGGTGACCATCTCAGAACTGGGGCGTGGAGCCTATGGGGTGGTGGAGAAGGTGCGGCATGCCCAGAGTGGCACCATCATGGCCGTGAAGGTGAGCAGTGCCTGGAGACAGCTGGAAGGGCTCCCGGGAGGAGGCGGGCTGAGCTCTGCCATGGGGCCCTGCCTGTCCCTCTCAGTGACCAGTACGAAGGCCAGACGTTTTGGGGCATGCTGGACGTAGCCCCCTGAGCTCCTGGCCCTCCTGTCACGAGTGGGGAGTTGGCCTCTGCCATGGCAACCTCTGAACGGCAGCCCTTCTCTGCAGCGGATCCGGGCCACCGTGAACTCACAGGAGCAGAAGCGGCTGCTCATGGACCTGGACATCAACATGCGCACGGTCGATTGCTTCTACACTGTCACCTTCTATGGCGCACTATTCCGAGAGGTGTGTCCTTGCACGGTGCCGGCAGGGTGCTCTACCACCCACCCATCAGTCGCCTGCAACCCACTGCCACTCAGTCCCTCCAGTGTGCCAGGTGCTGGGGACATGGGGAGCCACCTGGGCCAGCACAGCTCCCAGGGGCACCAGCCCTGCCAGGCCACCAGGCTCCCCTGTCTCCTGGCTGTTACTTTCTGGTTTGGTGCCTCAGTTTCCTCATCTGTCAGATGAGGCGGGTAGTTGTGGCTGCCTCCTAAAGTTGACAGAGAGGTTAAATGATATGGCCTAGGGCCTGGCATTGGGCTGCACTCTGTTCTGCCTGTGTGACCGTTTGCATCCCCATGGCATATGGGGCGTGGGGTGCCCGAGCAGGCAGCGGCCATGGAGTGTGCGATCTGGATTCTGGGTTTTGGGTCTGTGGACAGGATGGGGTGTGTGCTGAGAGAGCGACTGAGGCTGGAAGGAGCTGCCTTCCGCCAAGCCGGGTGGGTGTGGGTGAGCAGGGAGGCCAGGAGCCTGGGCGGCGCCGGGCTCATACTGCTCACTTGCCCTCAAGGAGCTGTGCTAAGGTCAGGGTGTCTGAGTCGGGCGATCGGGGCAAGGTCAGGGCGGCCTCACCTGGCCTCACTCTTCACTCATGAAGAGCTCAGCATCCTCTGTCAGCTCCTAGCTGATGGGGCCCCTGCAGCCTGTGGGTACGCCCTGTGCATCTCCCAACCAGGCGGGTCCGCAGGCGTTCACTGGGGAAGAGGGAGCAGGTCTCTGCAGGCAGGGAGCCATCTGCCAGGATCAGCTGGCTCTTGCCATGGAGCTGGTGCAGGTGCATTCTGAAGCTCCAGTGGAGGGACCCGGCGAGGCTGTGTGCTAATCCCTCCTCCCTGGAGACACCTGGATTTAGGGATCAGATGGAGGAGGCTGGCGCCCGAACCTGGCAGTGGGGAGGTGGGAAGATGTTGGGGAGAAGCGGGCAGAGGCAGGTTGGTGGGGGGGCTGGCGGCTTGGTGAACCGTGGCTCCGTGGGTGGGCACATGTCGAGGAAGGGGTGGGGGCTGGTGCTGGGGCAGGCCATGCAGGTGGTGCAGACACGGCAGCCCAGCAGCCTGGCTGAGCTCTGGGTGTCACCCACAGGGAGATGTGTGGATCTGCATGGAGCTCATGGACACATCCCTGGACAAGTTCTACCGGAAGGTGCTGGAGAAAGGCATGACAATTCCAGAGGACATCCTCGGGGAGATTGCTGTGTCTGTGAGTAGCCCAGTGGGCTGGGGGTCCCAGGTGCATAGGCAGAGGCCCAGCCCTGCCAGCAGGCATAGAGCCTGCCTGATGCTGGTGTCTTGGGCAGAGCTGGGCATCAGTGTGCCCCCTGAACCTGGGCAGTGGTCCTGCATAGACCCTCCTCCTCTACCCCAGACCAGAGTCTTCCTACTTAGGAGACCTCAGCTTGTGGGGCTCCAGGAGCCCCACGGATTTGGTAGATCTGGATGTCTGAGCCATTGAGTCCGACCCATGAGTTCCAGACCATTTAAAAAAAAAGGAATTTAGTATTTACAACAGCGTCATACTAAAAATGCCCTGGGGCAGCTCACAGAGGTACAAGCCAAGTTGGGGAAAAAAGGTTAGCATCCAAAATATGTGCTTTTCGAGTCTTAAAAAGTCACTGAGGGAGGGCAGCGACCCTGGGCTTGAGCATCCCAGTGGCCAAAGAAAAAAGGAAAATGGAACCGGTGACACTGGTTCAATCCTCACCGCATCTGGAAACATTTACAATGTACCCCTGCCTCAGGCTCCCCACCCACCCTTCTCAAGGGAAATGGCTCCAAGTGCTAGAATGCTGGCTGTACCCTGGGAGGGGAGATGGGGTAGGGAAGCAGGCTGCCAAGAGCTGCCAAGAAGAGCCTGGCAGGCAGTGATGATGGCCCCTGGGAGGTGAGCCCGGGAGGGTGAGAGGAGGCAGGAGGCCGAGTGTGTCTGCAGCAGGGTTGTTGGGATGCAGCTGGGGAAATGCCAGCACAGGGCAGGAGGCCGGGATGAGGAGGTGCCTAGCCTGTGCAGCAGGAGCAGGAGGCAGGCGGACACAGACCGGGTCTTACTGCTCTGTCGTTGACGTGACCAGGAATAACAGAAGCCCTGTCTCTCCCTCCTTCCCACCTCACCGCCAGATCGTGCGGGCCCTGGAGCATCTGCACAGCAAGCTGTCGGTGATCCACAGAGGTCAGTGCCCTGCAGCTACCCAGGCACGGTGTGGCCAACGAGAGGGGTCCCAGGCCAAGGCGGGTGGACGTTTCCCTGTTTCCGTGATGAGCAGCTAAGGCTCAGAGAGGTGATAGGTTGTGACTGCCCGATGGGGTCCTGGCGGCTTTCCACCTGCTCAGGTTTGCTGGTGTTCGGAGCAAGGACTGGCTCGACCTCTGTCCTGGGCAAGGTGGACTGGGTTCCATTCTGACATACAGTTTACAAATCGTGAAACTCCAGCAGAATACACATGATCACGTTCACACCCGCACAAGCACCTCCCTCCAAGCTCCAGGACGTTTCCCTCACCCCAGCCCAGAACGTTCTCTCGGGCCCTCCCTGCCGCCCCCATGTGCCTACGGCAGCCGCAAGTCTGGTTTCCCCATGGTGGGTGGGTTTCGCCTTTTCTGGAACATCAGCCTTACTAGCTTGATGCTCCTGGACCCAGCCAGGTCTGCTGTGGTCTCGGTTTGTTCCTTTTTGCTGCTGAGTACACGTCTGTTTTTCCAGATTTACTGCTTTTCAAAAGATGAATTAGGCTTAGTTTCCATTGACCACTGGGTGCCCGTCTCAGCCCCCGCCTGTGGGTCACTGTGGTTGACATTTGGCACGGAACCTTCTGTTCCTTTTTCTGTGCATTTCCATCTTTACACACATCCTCATGGAGGGCATGGGGATGCGAGTGTCCTGTGTGCATTTGCGTGGAGAATCCCTGCCGGGCTGGTCGCCCGTGCTGGTCTGTGGGGACTCCAGGTCCAGGCCTGCAGATCCTGCCTCCCAGGCTGTAATGGACCCTGCTGCCCTCTGGGAGCACCCACGCGAGCCAGGCTCTCACTGGGCCTCGCATCTGGAGGGCAGATGCAGGCATGGCGCCCCCAGCCAAGCACCTGGAGTCCTGCCTTCCCCGAAGTGGCTGGGCCGGGCTGGGCACTTCCTGGCTGTGCCCTGAGGACTGAGTATAACTGTCAACTGGCCTGGCGCCTCCTGCAGCCTCAGTTCCCTGGCCCAACCCTTGGGACCCTGCTGGAATCTGCCCACTGGGGTTTGGGAGCGGGCACAGGAGGGGCCTTGGTCCAGGGAGGGGGGATGCCGCTGTGCAGAGCATGACACCTGCCTCCAGTCATGGTCCACAGATGTGGCTGAGTGAGGCATGTCCCACCCTGGCAGATGTGAAGCCCTCCAATGTGCTTATCAACAAGGAGGGCCACGTGAAGATGTGTGACTTTGGCATCAGTGGCTACTTGGTGGACTCTGTGGCTAAGACGATGGATGCCGGCTGCAAGCCCTACATGGCCGTGAGTGGTCCCCGAGCCCCCAGGCTCAGGAGAGGATGGTGCGGGGAGAGACCTGTCCAGATTGGCCACCCTGGCCGTGCCCTCTGTCCGCCAGGCAGAGCCTCCCCACACTATTTCCTGCCATAGTAGGGCTACCTGTGTCTTGCTGTACGGGGGCAGCCCTTCTGTACCCTGTGGTTAACTGCCCCCCATAGTGTCCCAGTTGGGTGGTAAGCTGCATGTACCTCCGTGGAGGAGACTGGTGGCTGTGCAAGTCCCGCCCCACCCCTATTGTCAGGAGGGCCGTAGTAGGGCCTGCTCCTGGGTAGGGGCAGCTCAAGGCAAGGAGTAAGCCTTCTAAGCATGACCGAGGCCTTCCTAGCCTCAGTTTCCTCCCCTGTCACATGGGCAGGTGGGCAAAGCTGAGCACTCAGTTTTGGGATCGGGGGGCAGGGCTTGGCTACAGGAGCTTGCTTGGGGTGGGTGTTCATGCCTCACTGCTCCCTCCTGCAGCCTGAGAGGATCAACCCGGAGCTGAACCAGAAGGGCTACAATGTCAAGTCTGATGTCTGGAGCCTGGGCATCACCATGGTACTGTGTGGGGCCAGGGCCTGCCCTTGGTAGTCGGGTGGGGTGGGGTGGGGCCGTGCCTGGGGCCCTGAGCTTTTGGGGAACTCATCACATAGTTTACATCCTGGAAAAAAGTATTTGCTTCAAAATCTGAGAAGAAAATGTGCCATGAGAAATTACCATTTATTTAAGGGAACATCCTAGAGTCAGGGTCAGCTGTCATGAAGGCCTGGGCACTCTTGACACAGTGACCATGTGGCTTCTCCGGAGTTCTTGGTGCTTGTTGAGAAATCACAGCCAATCCCAAGTTATGTGATTTGCTGGTATGTAAATCTTGCAAAAGCAGGATGATAAAAATGTTTTCAAAAACATTTCATAGCAGAAGCTTTGCTGTGAGTGGCATCCCGGCACATTGCTGTGGGGTGGTAGGAGGCGTGGGTGGGCTGTCAGTCCTGGGCCTGCGGAGGCCAAAGGCACCCCTGGCTTGGGGAGGGTGAGGGTAGGTGCGACGGAAGTCCAGGTGCAGGGGTGGGACCAGAGCAGTTGCCTCTAGAATTACCTGGCAGAACCCCCATGCCTTCCGTGCTGGGGCTCAGGTCAAGGTGTGGGCGAGCTCACTCTGGCTCCCATGTGGACAGTGGATTGGAGGGTTGGGAAGACCACCGGGATGTGTCCCCAACCAGGGCCTGGAAGTTGTACAGGATATGCGTGGAAGGACGATGCCAACTGCAGGTAGGGCTCAGGCTGGTGGCCTTGGCCAGCTGGGTGGTTTGGGACCAATGGAGTGTCCTGGGCATCAGCTCCTTCCTGCCTAGAGCAGCCTGGCCCAGGACATTCGCTTGCCCCAGTCCCTTTGACTATTTGGTGTTGGGTGTGAGGCCATCAGACAAAATTGGTAAGATGTAGTAAGACTTAGGATGTTTTCCAACACCAGCAACCCGTTCTCAGATTCTCCAGACACCCACCCACTGTCCTGCGGTTCTGTTTGGTTCTGATGCTACCTGGAGTTCCCACAGACCCTGTAGGTGAGGGCTGTGTTCCACCAGACTGCCCCCACATCACATACTAGTTGGAAGTAGCAGGCTTCCCATACTACTGACTGACCAGCTACAAATTGGGGGTCCCCACGACCCTCTCCTAAGGTTTGATCATTTCCTAGGATGGCTCACAAAACTCAAGAAAACTCTTTCTTTTTTTTTTTTTTTTTTTTTTTTTTGAGACGGAGTTTTCAGCTCTTGTTACCCAGGCTGGAGTGCAATGGCGCAATCTCAGCTCACCGCAACCTCCGCCTCCTGGGTTCAGGCAATTCTCCTGCCTCAGCCTCCTGAGGAGCTGGGATTACAGGCACGCGCCACCATGCCCAGCTAATTTTTTGTATTTTTAGTAGAGACGGGGTTTCACCATGTTGACCAGGATGGTCTTGATCTCTCGACCTCGTGATCCACCCGCCTCGGCCTCCCAAAGTGCTGGGATTACAGGCTTGAGCCACCACGCCCGGCCTAGGAAAACTCTTTACTTGTGTTTACTGGCTTATCAGAAAGGATATAACTGAGGACCAGCCAGATGGAAGAGCCTCCTGGGGGAAGGGGAGTGAGTGTGGGGTGCTGAGCCGCTGTGCCCTGCCGCCCTCCTTGCACCCCTGTGCTTGTCAACCTGCAGGCTCCCCAAGCTCATATAGTTTTGTTGTTGTTTTTGAGACAGAGTCTCACTTTGTCGCCCAGGCTGGAGTACAGTGGCACAATCTCAGCTCACTATAACCTCTGCCTCCTAGGTCAAGCGATTCTTGTGCCTCAGCCTCCCGAGTAGCTGGGATTACAGGCACCACCATGCCCAGCTAATTTTTGTATTTTTAGTAGAAATGGGGTTTTGCCATGTTGGCCAAGCTGGTCTTGAACTGCTGACCTCAAGTGATCTGCCCGCCATCAGCCTCCCAAAGTGCTGGGATTACAGGCAGGAGCCACTGTGCCCAGCCTCACATGGAGAGTTTTTTTTTTTGTTTTTGTTTTTTCTTTTTTTTTTTTTTTTGAGACAGAGTTTCGCTCTTGTTACCCAGGCTAGAGTGCAATGGCGCGATCTCGGCTCACCGCAACCTCCGCCTCCCGGGTTCAGGCAATTCTCCTGCCTCAGCCTCCTGAGTAGCTGGGATTACAGGCACGTGCCACCATGCCCAGCTAATTTTTTTGTATTTTTAGTAGAGACGGGGTTTCACCATGTTGACCAGGATGGTCTCGATCTCTCGACCTCATGATCCACCCGCCTCGGCCTCCCAAAGTGCTGGGATTACAGGCTTGAGCCACCGTGCCCGGCCGAGTTTTTTTTTTTTTTTTGAGAGGAGTCTCACTCTGGTTGGAATGCAGTGGTGTGATCATGGCTCACTGCAGCCATCCTCCCACCTCAGTCTCCCAAGTAGCTGGAACTACAGGTGTGTGCCCCACACCCAGCTAGTTTTTTCATGTTTTGTAGAGAAGGGGTCTCACTGTGTTGCCCAGGCTGGTCTTGAACTCCTGGGCTCAAGCAGTCTGCCTGCCTCAGCCTCCCGCTGTGTTGGGATTACAGGCCTGAGCTCTCACACCCACTGCAAGTTTTTATAGACCACAGTCTCCAGCCCCTCCTCCTCTCAGAGGGCTTTCTGGGGAGCAGCCCCCATCCTGAGGCCATCTAGGTACCTCATTCGCATAAACTCAGGCTCCTTGTGGATAACAAAAGCCACTCCTGTCACTCAGGAAATTCCAAGCGTTGTAGGAGCTCTGTTCCAGGAACAAAGTCCAAATAAATTTCTTTTTATGCCCCAGGGGTGGAGAAGAGTGGAGCAGGTGGGGTGGCTCTGGGGAGATGTGGAGGGCGACTGCAGCAGATGCGGAGGCCTCTGCAAGGAGGGGCTCTGCTGACCTGAGGGCATGGTGACCCAGGGAGTGCAGGTGCAAAGGCCCTGAGGTGGGGCTGCGCCTGCTGTGTGCCTGCATGGCTGGGTCAGTGGAGAGGGAGGGAGGATTGGGAGCGAGGGCAGAGAGGTGTCTGGTGGATACAGAGTTGACGCTGCTGTTTTGGGTTTTACTGGTGTTGCTGCTACCATTGTTATCATCGTCGTGTGGCTGTCACTTTATTTATGTACTTTTTGTTTTTTTGAGACAGATTCTCACTCTTGTCACCCAGACTGGAATGCAGTGATCTCAGCTCACTGCAATCTCTGCCTCCTGGGTTCAAGTGATTCCCCTACCTCAGCCTCCTGAGTGACTGAGATTGCAGGCTTGTGCCACTATGCCTGGCTATTTTTTTTTTTTTTTTTTTTTTCTGAGACGGAGTTTCGCTCTTGTTACCCAGGCTGGAGTGCAATGGCGCGATCTCGGCTCACCGCAACCTCCGCCTCCTGGGTTCAGGCAATTCTCCTGCCTCAGCCTCCTGAGTAGCTCGGATTACAGGCATGTGCCACCATGCCCAGCTAATTTTTTGTATTTTTAGTAGAGACGGGGTTTCACCATATTGACCAGGATGGTCTCGATCTCTTGACCTCGTGATCCACCCGCCTCGGCCTCCCAAAGTGCTGGGATTACAGGCTTGAGCCACCGCGCCCGGCCGCTTTTTTTTTTTTTTTTTTGAGACGGATTCTCACTCTGTTGTCCAGGCTGGAGTGCAATGGCACGATCTCAGCTCACTGCAACCTCCGCATCCTGGGTTGAAATGATTCTCCTGCCTCAGCCCCTTCAGTGGCTGGGATTACAGGTGTGAGTCACCACACCCAGTTAATTTTTGTATTTTTAGAAGAGATGGGGTTTTGCCGTGTTGGCCAGGATGGTCCCAAAGTCCTGACCTTAGGTGATCTACTTGCCTCGGCCTCCCAAAGTGCTGGGATTGCAAGTGTGAGCCACCACGTCGGGCCTTTTTTTTGAGACAACGTCTCACTCTGTTGACCAGGCTGGAGTACAGTGGCATGATCTCAGCTCACTGCAACCTCCACCTCCCAGGTTCAGTCGATTTTCCTGAGTAACTGGGATTACAGGCACCGGCCATTATGCCCGGCTAATTTAGTATTTTTAGTAGACACAGGGTTTCGTTGTGTTGGCCAGGCTGGTCTCGAAACTCTTGACCTCAGGTGATCTGCCTGGCTTGGCCTCCCAAAGTGTTGGGATTACAGGCGTGAGCCACCAGGCCTGGCCTTGAGCCACTGTGCCCAGCCTGTGGCTGTGACTTTATAAACAGTGTATCTGCAGACAGTGACTAGGAAAGACTCAAAGTCGAAATAATTTTGTCAGAGAGGTGGGACTGGGCAATGCCTTCAATTTTCTTTAATTGGTGACATGTAATTTTTCTTTTTTTGAAACAGAGTTTCGCTCTTGTTGCCCAGGCTGGAGTGCAATGGTGCTATCTCACCTCACTGCAACCTCTGCCTCCTGGGTTCAAGCAATTCTCCTGCTTCAGCCTCCCGAGTAGCTGGGATTATATGCATGCGCCACCTTGCCCCGGGGAATTTTATGTTTTTAGTAGAGACAAGGTTTCTCCGTGTTGGTCAGGCTGGTTTCAAACTCCTGGCCTCAGGTGATCCGCCCCCCTTGGCCCCCCAAAGTGCTGGGGTTACAGGTATGAGCCACTGCGCCCGGCCTGGTGACATGCAATTTTTCAATTAAACTTTTTTTTTTTTTTTAGGTGGAGAGGAATATTTTTTTAATATAACAGTTTTCCAAGTTCTAAGTTAGCTGAAAAGGACAAGTTCTTGCTGTATTTAGACAGCACAGAACTGGTTAGAAATTAAAGAGTCCCCCCTCATGACCACCTCACACATACACACACGCTTATGTCCCTTCCCCACCTCCCTGTCTCCCTTCTACCTGTCTATCTATCATCACTGTTGGGCCCAACATGGCTAGTGACCTTCTAATGTGGCTGGTAGAACTTGGACAAGTACGTGCTAAGTGCATATTTCGGTTGTCAAGTGTTACATAGCAAACCATCGCAGAACCTAGTGACCCAAACCAACAGCAGTTTCTGATTTCTCATGTTGCAGCCATTGTGGCTAGGCTCAGCTGGATGGCTCTTCTGCTATACCTGGCACTGGCTGGGCTGGGCTGGAAGGCCCAAGACAGACTCACAGTCCTGGACCTCCTCTGTGTGGCCTCTCCATGCCACTTACTCACAGTGGCCTGCTCCGTGGGCTTCAGAGTGTGGCAGCATCAGCATACTTGGAGTTCTTTCGTGGTGGCGGGCATCCAAAAGGAAGTCCTCTGAAGTGCTAGGCCTGGAACTGGCACAGCATTGCTTCTGCCTTATTGTGTCAGTCAGCCAGTCACAGGCCAGCCCAGGTTTAAGGGCAGGGAATGCTCTCAGCCTGATGGAGGATCGGCGGGTATACCCAGGGAGAGGCGGAGGTGGCCACGTTAGGCACGCCTAGGTTTTTCTGCCGTAAGTTACCAAAGTAGTGGAAAGCTAACACAGAAATACAAAGGCAAAGTAAGGGGAAAATGACTGTAGTTATTCTACCTAGAGACACCTCTTACCCCATTTCAATGCTAACATTGTGCACTATAGCATAAATGTCGTATTTTTATTATATATGTTATTATATATAATAAAAATATATTTTATTATAATTAGAAATATGAACAATATGTAATACTTCTTTTTAAAAAACATATTTTATTTTATAGCATCACATATTGTTCATGTTTCTCTAAATTATACAGACCCGTGTGTGTATCCCTTCCAAAGACTCCATAACCATCCGCCCTGCACTCACCCTGTCTGCTGATGTGGGGTGTTTCCCTTGTTCCTGATGTTTTCCTTCCTTTTGAAACTCTCCGCCATCCTGCGGGAGTGGCTGGTGAAACTGTCGGGAGAGTCTCCTGGGCGGGGCCCCGGTCTGGGTCTCGGCCTCCCCCAATCCTGCAAGGGCCCCAGAGCCCTCTCGGTGTTGGCTTTTTCCCACTCGCTGTACAAGCCTCAGGACACCAGTGCCAATCACCCAGAACAGGGAGGGGTCGTGCCAGGGCGGGAGTGAGTGTTGTCGCTGGGGAGTCACAGGGGTGCGTCTGCAGTCCTGGCTGGGTCTCAGCCCCATGGTGGGGCCGCCCCCTGGCGCTGGACATTCAGGCTGCTTCTAAACATCTCCTGGCAGATGATACCATGTGGCACATCTTTGTGCCTGGAGGCCTTTTTTTGTTGTTTTTCTTTTTTTTAGCTCTTTAGAAAAATTAAAGGAGTGTGAGGTTGGGGGTTTGGACACTTCTGCTTTTCCAGTTAAGAAACGGTCATGATAGCCGGGCGCGGTGGCTCAAGCCTGTAATCCCAGCACTTTGGGAGGCTGAGGTGGGTGGATCACGAGGTCAACAGATCGAGACCATCCTGGTCAACATGGTGAAACCCCGTCTCTACTAAAAAAATATATATATATATAAAAAAAAAAAAAAGAAAGAAACGGTCATGGCTGCTGGTCCTTCTCCTGCAGCTCATGTGGGCTCCTTGCTCTACAGATTAGAGTCCTGAAAGTTTTAAGAGGAAAGCTCCCTGAATTGGTACGGTTTTGTCCCTCGAACACACATGCACACATGCACACACACGCGCAGTGAGCTGTGCATGTGTGTGTGTGTGTCTGGGTTAGAAGGGGCCTCCAGCCTGATGGGAGGCACGTTCTCAGCACGGTCCTAGGGTCCAGCGCCATGTGTTAGTGCTGAGGTCTTTTCCGTCCATCTTGGGATGATGACCGTCAGCAAGGGGCCTCATGCTGGAGCCCGAGAATTCTCTGTTCTTCCAGGCCGGGGCCAGGGCTGACATGACTTGTTTTTTCCATCCAGTCATGATGGTCGGAGCCCAGAGTTGGTTGTACACTAGGTCGCTCGTCCCTTCCATGATGACTTCCTGCTGACCACAGGCAGGGCACAGGGCTGGGAGTTTGGAGCGAGTACAGAGACCCATCAGCTCGATGTCACCCACAGGAAGTCCGGCTCCAGCAGGGCACATGTGGCCACACAGGCCACCTGTCTAGGTGGAAAACAGTGCCGGGGCCCCGCAGAAGATGAGGCTGCAGGCTCCGGCTCCCCACCAGCCTGCAGGTGCAGAGGCGAAGCAGCCTCGTGGTCTCACCCTGTCCACGGCCTTGGGGAGGGCCGTGTGTGTGTGTGTGTGTGTGTGTGCGCGCGTGTGTGTGACTTCTTGTGTGCTTTCTCTGTGAAAATAGCAGCCCAAATAAATGTCAGCAGATGCTGAAGTCCAAGATGATCAGATGTTAGGGAGGGGAGTGGCTGTGACCACCAGGACCTGCCCACCTGCTGCAGCCCGAGGTTACCAGCTTCTCAGATTTTTTCAGAGCAGCTGGAACCTGGATTGTTTTGTAAAATCTTCAGAATTCAGGTTGTTTGAAAACCCAGCGATGGTCTCACCAGTCCTGGCGTGCGCTGGATCTGCTTTCTGAACTGGGTCCTGCTGGCTGGGTCGGGGGAGCTGAGAGCTGCCATCCCTGGCTTTCACCTTTGCTCTGCTGGGATGTGGTAGGGAGATCAGCTGTGTAGCCTTGAGGCCTCGCTCTGGTGCCAGGATGGGCGAGAGCCCCCAACCCTGGCTCCTGGCTGCAGAGCGTGGGTGTATCTGGGTCCAGGGCCAGATACACTGACCTCCCTGTCCCTGCTGCAGATTGAGATGGCCATCCTACGATTCCCTTACGAGTCCTGGGGGACCCCGTTTCAGCAGCTGAAGCAGGTGGTGGAGGAGCCGTCCCCCCAGCTCCCAGCTGACCGTTTCTCCCCCGAGTTTGTGGACTTCACTGCGCAGTGGTGAGTCCAGGGTATGCTGAGTGCCTATTGGTGCCCTCCCTGGCCTGATCCCAGCATCTTCCTGGGCCCTGTTCCTTTTTCCTTTAGCAGATAACCCCCCCTGATGAAAGGCATCAAAATATGTAAGGCAGAAACAGCTGGAGCATGAGGAGTGTTGGACAAAACTATGGTCCTGGCAGGAGGTTTTAATGCAGTTCTTCCAGAAGTGGCAGATCAGATAGGCTGAAAAAGAGGAAAAAGTATATGGAAGATTTGAACACAGAAAACAAGTTTGCTTTTATTGATATCTAGAACTTTGAACCAAATTAAAGAATGCCCCATGGGAGCCTTATAAAAGTCATGTTTGAGATTACAGAGGGAATAAGGAAAAGGGCAGAGTCATACAGACCAACTTCTCTGACCATCCTTAAATAGAGCAAGAACTTGGTAAGGAAGAAGCAGCCGGGTACCGTGGCTCACACCCAAGGTCCCGGTACTTGTTGACCATCATCAGCAACAGAGGAGCCCAGCAGAGCCCCTGGGCAGTCTGGCCCCTTTAATTGGGGACTGACCTCTCCCAGGACCCATGCTAAGGAGTTTTGTCTCCATATGATTGTGAGGCAGAGCATTGGAGAGTCCTGTTTCGGTGTTGATACGGAAATTCCGAGGTCACTAAGGAGACAAGAAAACCAGGACCCCAAGAGCCAGAGAAACTTGCTGCAAGCCTCTAGTTTGCCCCTGTGAATGCCCCTCCACCCTGGGAGAAACCCTGGATGGTCCTGTCCCATCTTCCCTGGGTGCACATGTCCCCCAGGCCTGGGGCAATCCTAGAGTGGCTTGGCTGGCCTTTGGGGGTTGGGCTTCCTTCCTCCCTGCCAGCCTGGCTATACCTGCACTGTTCTCTCCTAGCTTGAGGAAGAACCCCGCAGAGCGGATGAGCTACCTGGAGCTGATGGTGAGTGTGGGCGGGAGGTGCCTGCCCTGCTCTTCAGGGCTGGCTGGTGGCTGGGTGGGCTCAGGAGAGGGCCACATCCTGCACACAGACGGGCAGCTCCTCTGGCCCCACGCTGACTCCTTTAGGTGCTCATTCATTCGTTTGCTTCTGCATACCTGGCTTCCTCCTCCATCATTCCTTCACGCCAGGCTCTGGGAAGGGTACACGGGCAGTGTGGGATAGAATGGGGCAGAGGGGCCAAGGGTGGCATCAGGGAAGGCTTCATGGAGGAGGTACCATTTGAACTGAGCCTGGAAGGATGAATAAGGGTTATCTGCTGATGGAGAGGCTGTTCCAAGCTGAAGGTCCAGCATGGGCAGAGGCCTGATGTGTGGGGGAAAGGGAGGTTAGTGTGGCTGAAGAGTGATCACAAGAGAGCTGAGGAGGAGCCACGAACACCATCTGTGACAGTCATGGAGTACCTCCTGGGGGTGGAGGTCCTAGAAGGATGAGTAGGATTTTGCCAGGCAGGAGGAACACTTGGGCTGGGGCTGGTTGGGGAGGAGTGGCACCTCCCCCTGCCACTGCCCCCTCCATGGTGAGTGTGCCTTCTGTCACCCCCAGGCGCACCCCTTCTTCACTTTGCACAAAACCAAGAAGACGGACATTGCTGCCTTCGTGAAGGAGATCTTGGGAGAAGACTCATAGGGCCTGGGCCTTGGACCCCACTCCGGCCCTCCCGAGCCCCACAGGCCCATCTGCAGGGGCAGTGCTCACCCGCACCATAAGCTACTGCCGTCCCGGCCCAGGGCATCCAGGAGGAACCGAGGGGGCTGCTCCCACTTGGCTCTGCAGCCAGCCATTTGTCCCAAGTGCCAAAGAAGCAGACCGCTGGGACCGCCAGCCAGGCCCTTAGTGGCCCCGAAGTGCCTCTCTCTCCCTGCTGCTCTGAGGACCGTCTTCAGTTGCTGAGACCCTGGACTGCCGGGGCCTGGACGCCCCTTTAGATGCTGCTGCCCCTTGCACAGCAGGTGCCTTGCCCAGCCTGGATGCCACCCAAGTTGTATATTTTTTTACTCTCTTGACTGAATGGACTTTACACACTTTGGCCCAGGGTGGTCACACCTCTATCCCGACTTTGGTGCGGGGTCCACAAGTGGGGATGAGCTATGTGAATCCCCCAAGAATCCCATGGGGGAGATGCCATGAGCCGCCCGAGGCCTTCCCCTGGCACGGGCGAACAGGGCCTCTTTGGGGCACACTGGGTCACCCAGTCCTGCCCGCCACCTTTATTGGTGTCATTTCACCTTTGTTTTGTTTTGTTTTGTTTTGTTTTTTTAATTTATCCTCTGTTGATTTTTTTCTTTTGCTTTCTGGGTTTGGCTTGTTTTTCTTGCATGGTTTGGAGCTGATCACTTCTCCCCCATCCCGTAAGGCACCAGCAGGCAGAGCCTCACCCTCTGCTCCCGCTGGGGTCTAGTGGGAGGGGCCCAAGTCTCTGCTCCGAGAAGTGCAGGGGGAGCCTTCTGGCTCGGCTCCACAGGGGCTATGGATTTGCTTTGGTGGTGTTTTAAAAAAAGAAAATATATTTTTTTGAAAAAATGACTGCCCATCCCGGGTCCTTTCCTGATGGGTTGGGGCAGGTACCTGGTTGCTGTTTTAATTAAAAAAAGAAAAGGACTAAAGGTTGTGTGAGACTATGTATGACACCTGTGAGCCCCCTCTTACTCCGGGAAGGTTGGGGTTTCTCGAGGGACCCTTGCCTCTGGACTAGGGCCAGGGTGGCATGCTCAGGGGAGGGAGGGCTGCCAACCCACCAGGCCCTCCTGCATCTGAGGACACAGAGGCCTCCAGAGGGCTGTGACAAGGTGATATCCTGTGACCATCCAGGCACCAGGCCCTGTACTGATGCTGGAAAGAACAGCGAACATGCAGGCCCAGTCCCTTGCGGCCACCCATCCCACTGTCCTGGAGCAGTGATGACAGCCAGGTGCACAGAGTGGCGAGCACCCCAGGCACTGTGCCTCGACTGGACATGGCGGCCTCATGGAGGTTACATGACCTCCAATTTACAGATGGGAAAGCAGACCCAGAGAGCTGATACTACTTGCCCAAAGCCATACAGCTTATAAGACAGAAGAGCAGACTAGGGGACAGGTGGTGGGCTCTGGAGAAGGCTGCGAGGGGAGTGGGGACAGCTTGATGAAGGTGCCCATGCAGGGTCCCCTCTGGCCCCGTGACACCAGCAGCATGGCCGGGCAGCAGGGAATTTGTTCACCTAAGTGGGGTGTGCTTGGCTGTGGTACCTTTGGATTCGAAGTTCAGCTGATGGCCTGAAGGACTTGGGTCCACCTTGGTTCATCAGTCTCAGTTCACCCACTCATGGGGACCAGTCAGGACCCAGGGACTCCAACAGCTTGTCATACTGGACCCAGCATACACCCAGATCCCAGTGCTGGCTCTTAACCAGCTGGGAAGGAGTCGCATTCATCCCCATGCTGGGAGGGTGGGCGTGATGGCCCAGGTCAGGTCAGGCATGAGGGGACTCAGCCCACCATGGCTCAGGGTCCAAGAGCAGGGCCTCTGTGGTCCTCTGAGGAAGCCTAGGGTGTGTTCCCAGGAGGAGGGTCCCCATGGGGTCTGTCTCTCCACTCCTCCTGTCTTCCAGCTCCAGTCTGGGACAGACCTCTGCCCACTAACCCTTCCCTGGCACAGGGGCTAGCAGTTCCTGGGAGCTGTTGTTTTCCTCCCTCCATCCTTCAGTCGTGAAGACTTGTTCTCACCCCAGGGCCTTTGCACTGACTGTCCCCTCTGCCTAGAACACCCTCTCCCCCAGCTTTTTATGGCTGCCACCTCCCCCATCCCGGTCTCCCATGTCACCTCCTCAGGGAAGTCTTCCAGGACCACGCTGACTCAAATAGCCTCTGCCTTCCAGGCCCAGACAATCTAGCGCATTATCCTGCGTTATCCAGGCAGACCTGACTTGACACTGTTGTGTCGTCAGCGCTGAGGATGCTGCCGACACCGACACCGAGGGATCCCTCTGCTTCTGCTGAATGAACACATGAAAGAATGAATGAGGGAGGGAGGGAGGGAGGGGAGGAAGGGAATGAATCTCTTGCCCAGGAGTCAGCGTGGCCACCCACCCGGGTCCCGGGGCGCGGCCCCAGGCGCTATTTCCTGCAGCCGCCAGGGGGCGGTAGAGCTCGGCTTCCACCGCGTGCCCTGGAGCCCCGCCCGGACCCGAGCGCTGGTCCGCGTCCTCGGGAGCGCGGAGCCAACGCGCGGCTGGGCTCCGCGGGTTTGCCACCCGTCGACCCAGTTCTCGGTCTCCGCGGCCGGCGTGCCGGTGTGCAACCCCCGGCCCAGCACTCGGGGCTTCCGGGGGCTCTGCAGTCTGCGGAGCGCAGCAGACCCCACGCCTAGCGATTTACCGTGCGCGCCCCTGCGGATGACCCAGCGCGCCGCAGCTCACCGCGCCCCTCGCGGCTCGCAGGCCTGGCCGGACGCCGCAGCCCTTCGCAGAGAGCCGGCCCCTCCGCACACGACTGCCGCCCGGGTGGTGTCCAGTTCCCTTGCGGTTTATGGGACCCTTTGGCTTCTACAGAGCGTGTCCAACCGTCTAGAGTGGGGAAGCCAGTGTGCAGATCGGTGACATCTATAAAGCCCAGGCCCTTTATACTACCCACGACCTCCGTGGCGGTCCCAAGCGGCAGGGCGCCTCGGCCCTGAGGTGTGGGAATGGAGATGGGGAGCGGCCCGACCCCCTCTCGCCCGAGGCCAGACGCCGCATTTCCTGTCAGGCAGCAGGGGCCGGGCAGGCGCCTCTTCCAGTCCCGGGATTAATGAGTCTCTGGACGGGGTGATGGCAGAGGCATGTGGACTTTCTGTTCAATTACAGCCGTGAGAGCCTCCTCATCAGGCAGCATTAAAAATGCAGCAGACAGGCCGGGCGCGTTGGCTCACGCCTGTAATCCCAGCACTTGGGAGGCTGAGGCAGGTGGATCACCTAACATCGGGAGTTCGAAACCAGCCTCGCTAACATGATGAAAGTCTGTCTCTACTAAAAAAAATACCAAACTTAGACGGGCGTGGTGGCGCACGTCTGTAATCCCAGCTATTCGGGAGGCTGAGACAAGAGAATCGCTTGAACCCGGGAGGCGGAGGTTGCAGTGAGCTGAGATGATGCCACTGCACTCCAGCCTGGATGACAGAGTGAGACTCTATCTAAAAAAAAAAAAAAAAAAAAAAAAGCCCAGGCATGGTGGCTCACGCCTGTAATCTCAACACTTTAGGAGGCTCAGGCGGGTGGATCCAGCCTGGGCAATATGGGAAACCCCATCTCTACTAAAAATACAAAAATTAGCCATGGTGGCGCTCGCCTGTAGTCCCAGCTACTCGGGAGGCTGAGGCAGAATAATAGCTTGAACCTGGGAGGCTTGCTATGGAGGTTGCAGTGAGCTGAGATTGTGCCATGGCACTGCAGCCTGGGTGACAGAGCGAGACTCCGTCTCAAAAAAAAAAGAAAAAGAAAAAGAAAAAGAAAAATACAGCAGACAGGCCTGCTCAGGATCAGTGAGGCTGCAGAAGGAGGATTTGGTGAATTCCCTTCTAGAGGCCAGGGCGGGAAGCTTCTCCTCCGCTCAGATCCCTGCTGTGGCTCCTGCCTTTGGTGAGGGCCTCCTGATGGTCCACGGTGCCTCACCCCGTGCCTGCCCCCATCTCCCCTGTACCCTGTGCCTCGCTCCCTGCACTTTACCTGGAGCCTGGCAGCGGGGCCTCTGGACTGACTGTCCCATTCTCCACCCGGAATGCTATTCCCCAGATGTGCAACCGCTCAGGAGTCTGCTCAGATGCCACTTCAGAGAGGCCTCCCTGACCACCTTCACCCTGCTGCACTTTTGTTTGTTTGTTTGTTTGAGATGAAGTCTCACTCTGTTGCCCAGGCTGGGCTGGAGTGGCTCACTGCAACTTCCACTTCCCGGGTTCAAGCAATTCTCCTGCCTCAGCCTCCTGAGTAGATGGGATTACAGGCACGCACCACCACACCTGGCTAATTTTTTTTTTTTTTTTTGAGACGGAGTTTCGCTCTTGTTGCCCAGGCTGGAGTGCAATGGCATGATCTTGGCTCACCGCAACCTCCGCCTCCTGAGTTCAAGCAATTCTCCTGCCTCAGCCTCCTGAGTAGCTGGGACTACAGGTGCGCGCCACCATGCCCAGCTAATTTTCTCTATTTTTAGTAGAGACGGGGTTTCACCGTGTTGACCGGGATGGTCTCAATCTCTTGACCTCGTGATCCACCCGCCTTGGCCTCTCAAAGTGTTGGGATTATAGGCATGAGCCACCGCGCCCACCCATTTTTTTTTTTTTTTTTGAGACGGAGTTTCGCTCCTGTTACGCAGGCTGGAGTGCAATGGCGCGATCTCGGCTCACCGCAACCTCCGCCTCCTGGGTTCAGGCAATTCTCCTGCCTCAGCCTCCTGAGTAGCTGGGATTACAGGCACGCGCCACCATGCCCGGCTAATTTTTTGTATTTTTAGTAGAGACGGGGTTTCACCATGTTGACCAGGATGGTCTCGATCTCTCGACCTCGTGATCCACCCGCCTCGGCCTCCCAAAGTGCTGGGATTACAGGCTTGAGCCACCGCGCCCGGCTTGATTTTTTTTTTTTGTATTTTTAATAGAGATGGGGTTTCACCGCACTGGCCAGGCTGGTCTCAAACTCCTGACCTTATGATCCGCCCGCCTAGGCCTCCTAAAGTGCTGGGATTACAGGCGTGAGCCACTGCGCCCGGCCCGCCCTTTCTTCACATTTATTTATTTTCATTCTTGCCCACTGACTGCCTCCCCCACAAGACCAGGAGGAGCCATCCTTGCTCACAGGAGACAGGGCTGGTGCAGGAAGGCTGCCCCAAGGCCCAGTGCAGCCAGCAGGCAGCAGGGCTGTTCCGGAGGTGGTCTGGTGGCGGTGCTACCATTCTGTGTATTCTGCCCTGGGAAGGCTCTCCAGGAGTGAGCCGATCCCCACATCGTGCTGGCTGAGGACTCCGCACCTGAGAGAAGGGAAGGCAGGAGCTCCAGGCAAGACAGCAGGCAGCACCATGCTGGGAGGGTGAGCGCCGTGATCCTGCTCCCAAGTCCTTGCGCTGAGCTCAGTTTCTGAGGGCAGAGCCCCAGGAGGCCTGTGCTGCTCGCCTGGCTGCTCAGGCTCCAGCAGCCCTGAAACTGTGGTCAATTCCTCTCCTCCCAGGGAAGCGGCAGGGGCCAGCAGGATTGAATGTGCCCCTCAAGCTGCTGTGATGGGAGGTGGCGCCTCACAGCAGGATTGGGTCCTGGGGGCCCGCCCTCCTGAAGGGATGAATGCTGCCAGCCACCTCCCAGTGGGTTAGTTACCCGAGGGGTTGGGTTATAATAACCCTCTAGCAAGCCTTCCACCTTCCTTCTGCCATGGGAGGACACAGCAGGAAGGCCCTGTCAGATGCTGGCCCTGGATCTTTATTTCCCAGCTTCCAGAACCATGAGGAATTTCTATTGTTTAGTCTGGGCTGGGCGGGTGGCTCACACTTGCAATCCCAGCACTTTGGGAGGCCAAGGTGGGAGGATCGCTTGAGCCCAGGAGCTCGAGACCAGCTGGGTCAACATAGCGACACCCCATCTCTACAAAAAAGCCAAGTGTGGTCGTGCA